ATATATATTTTCCCTGAGTAAATAATCAATTTGCATTCTCAACCACTCATAGATATTGTTTGGAAATGTGTGTGATGGACATAGTTTACCACTTTCTTTTTAACATAATATATTTTATAAGTAGAAAGAATGCTTTTTGTCTTTTTTTTTTCTATATATAAAATGGTACATTGGATCCTCTATTTGTAGTACAACACTAGGTGTGAGACCCGTGTATTACACGGGTTTATAAAAAAGAAAAGTTTAATATAAAGTTATAAGCATTACATAATAGTTTTACATAAATACAAAAGATATAATAAATAAAGTAAGTAATTTAATATATAATGCAGGAGATTTGAAAAGTTGTAAAGCATTAATTATGAAGTTAATAGAATAATCTACCTTATATATATATATATAAATCTCACTAAAATATGGATTTTAAATTTAAGAAAATGAAAAATACAAGAAAATGACAAGTGGAAAAAATAATTCAAAAACTCTTAGAAATTGACATGTGTCAAATTCAATGAGATAATGACATTTGGCAAAATTGATTTTCATTTATTAGGTTAGATAGGAAATTAGTCTTTAAAGTTATATAGCCTAAAAGATCATACAAGAGATCTCTCGGTCCTATTCCAATTTTAGTTTTTTATTTATGCCTTCTATTCGACCCTAGCAATTTTATTTATGGATATCTTGATGATAAGAAACTTAACTTGTTAGATAAACATAAACTAGGAGAGATAAACATAAAATAGATAAATACGTAGATAAGGAAATGTTCATATGTAATCCCGTTAGTTTTTGCAATACATTTCTCCCTCTCCTTTCCATCTACGCCTCTAATAAACATTGCCCAATTTGCCCTTATGATTTATTTCTCGCTGACCTCCATCTCGACCCATTACACTTCAACACTTAAATTTACAAACTCGGTGTGTCTATCCATTTATGGATGATAGGTCGTGTTTTTTTCGAGAAACGTTCCCTGGTGTCCTGAATAGTTTCTGCTATAAATTATTAAGAAATACTTTATCTCTATTAAATATGATGGACTTGGGAATCCCATGGAGACAGACTATTTTGCTTATAAATACGACTGCTAACATACTCAAGATCTGGTTTTGGTATTATCGGATTTTTCCAAAAACTTTATGGTGGAAACAGTTGTCTTACGAAACATTTCCTAGTAATTTTTGAAACAGCTGTCTCACGAGTTATTCCACTATAGTCGAGATTTTGGACGGATTTACATTCACCATGACCCCCTCACAAGATACAATATGACCTAAGTACTCCACACAATCCTGCCGGAACATACTTCGCGAGATACAATGATTAGTTGCTCTCGATGCTATGTTAGCTTTTTACTGTAGATTAATATATCTTCATAGAGAACAAAAACAAATTTTCGCAAATACAGGAAAAACACCTTCTTTATCAATGATTGAAAGGTCTCCACTCGCCAACACGTTGGTAGCCTGAAGGGCATAACAAAAACTCGTAATGGCCTTTGTGAGTTCAGAAAGCCGTCTTAGGAATATCCACCTCATTTATACGATTCCACTGATACCCAAACTTCGAATCCAACTTATTGACTAATGAGGTTCCGTTTAACTCATCGATCACCAGAATCGATAATTTATCCGATATCGTGGATGAAGCCCAAAAATCGACAATGAACCGCCAACTCTCGCATTTCTTTACTAGCAACACCGAGCTAGATAAGGTATCAGTACTTGGTTGAATAATTACCACTCCAATCATCTTTCCTTTCAATGTCTCATTCTCGTCTTTCTACATCTTATCGATTAGGCCGAATGTTAATGGGCTTGGCCCTACTCTTCAACACAATAGTGTGCTCGTGTACTTTCGACGACAGTAGGTAGGCTAAAAACATCGAGATAATTGTCCAACAGATCACTCAAGGCGTGATTTACCGGATATGGATGAATAATACAGCCAATTATTTGGATGGCGAGTCCCCTGTAGAAACTAGAGATGTGAGATAGATAAACAAGACAATACTGAGACAATTTTTTGCTTAATTCTTAATCACAATACAGGGTTACAATTTATAGAAATCTGAAACTACTTGCTAACTAAAATTAAGGGAAACATGCATACTGGAATTAAATCGTGATTCTTAAACTAATGCAATAAACTTTTAGTGGCAATTGAATATGACCAACTCTTTATGCATGTGACTTGACCACTCTTCTAGTTTGACTCATGCACATGGAATGTGTTTGTATCAATGGATTATAGTCTCCTTTGCTTTGGCTAATTCCACGAGGAAACCCTCATTTGTAGAGCTCGAACTAATGAACAAAAATAAACTAGGGGCTGACTAAATTCTTAATCGCCTCGAAAAGCAACCTTCTCGCCACCATATAAAAATGACAACCTTGAAGCGTCAAACTACCCCTTGCATATCCCAAAACTCTTTTCGAATCTCCCATTACCCATCATCAATTAAGTCGTCCGGGTCCCTTTTACAATCGATATATTTAGGCGTGCCAGAGTTTCTGCCAAGAAAGAGGCACCTGTGAACTTTTCTAACTTTTCTGACTGACCCATTGAAAGGAAGATCAACATTTAGATCGGCTGATGGTTTATTTTTTGGATGTAGGGAAGAATGCATGTGTGGATCTAACAGGGGTTTCCCCTCTTATATGTTTGGGGAGTGGGGTTTTCATTGTGGGGCAAGCTGCTTTAAAAGCTGCATCATGCAAAGTGGCAGAACATGAGAAAACGTGCATGGAAAATCAACACACGTTTATACCTTTTGCATTTGATACTTTCGGTTTCCTTGCACCAGATGCTGTGGAGCTCCTCAATAGAGTCCAACAGGTCATGCATAGTAATGTTATGACTCCAAGATCTATGGATGTTGGTTTTAAAAGAATTAGTTTTGCTATCCAAAAAGGGGTTGCGGTATAGCTTTTTGCTCGTTTACCCGCTATGTCTATGTAAAACTTTTATTACCCTAATTTATAAAGATATACATTAAACCTTTTGGAAGAAGGTTGAAACTGCCACCGAGAGTCGAAAACATCAAAAACAGAAGTCAAAATGTCAAAGAATGAAAAAATTAGGTGCGATTGAGAAGAAGAACAAGTAGCAGTGTGAGCGACTTCTTTAGTGTGTGGGAATTGAGGAAAAAAGTCAAAATAAGTCTAAAGGAAAAAAAAGTTCGATTGTTCACATGTTGGATTCTCTTGGTGTATCAGGAGTGAGGCTTTAATTTTGGTCTTCTCTGAGTACTCCGGTGTATTAGTGTTCAAGTGAAGTGTGTGAACTGTTGAAATGAGAGGATGAAATCAGGAAATAACAACAGATAACAAGAGTTTCACTAGATTGATTAAACACTCAAATTAACACCAAAATAAACAAAAATAACCTAATACTTGCTAGTGATTCGAGAGCCTAGTCTCTCCCAAAGGTTCTAAGACCAGAATTTGACAAAAGATAACCTCTATTCCTTTATAAGCATTCTGGTAACAACTAAAGAAAATGCTATAAAAGATGCTCCTTATTTACTGATTTTCCCATAATACCCTTTTCTATATATGTTACTTTGGAACAATCACATAAAGTATTCTTTTACTGTTGAATTATAGACTTGAATGTGATACCGGAGATTTCTGACAAGATTAAAGACGTTTCTGTTAAACCATGTTTCGCTCTCATGTTGGCATTTCAAAATCCCTTGTCTTCAGTAAGATTCCCATTCTTCAACTTCATCTTTCATAATTTTGTTAAAATACCTGGTTAATAAATTTTATATATATATATATTTTTTAATTAAATTCCTGGTTCAGATACCACTTAAGGGTTTCTCAATTGAAAATTCTGAACTACTTAGCTGGGCAACCTGTGACAGCTGTAAGCCTGGACGTTCTACCTCCAGGTCTATATTATTTTGACTTTTTCATTATATCCTTGCTTTGACCAAATCCATTTTATTTATTTTGGTTTAACCATTGAGTTTTTTAATTTTTCTTTTGAAATGAATTGCAAAAAACAATGCAAAGATTATTTTTCTGGTTAAATAGAACAAATTCCAAACTATGGTGGTTTTTATAGAACTTATGTAGTGTTTTTTTAAAAAAAGAAAAAAAGAAAAAAAGAAAGTTTCATGTTTAATGGTTTGTATGGAACAGTGAAAGGTGGGTATTGCGATCAACAGATAAGTATGCAGAGGGTATAATTGGAAAAGCAGGACTAGAAAAACCTTCAAATGCAGCATTAGCAGAAATCGCTGAACAACTATTTCAAGAATTTCAGAGGACTGGACTTGATGTCTCTCTGCCATTTTTCAAGAAAGCCCATAGATGGTTTTTACTCAAACTTTAAATTTCAACTACATATCTCATTATTTGATTTTTAACTTTTATATGTTATGATTTTATTTTTTTGTGTATTTGATTCAGGGGAAGTGCTTTTCCAGCAACAAGCATAGCAAGAGATGAAAAATGCATTTGGGATAGAAGAAAGAAACTGGCAATTTGTGGAGATTTTTGTGTGAGCCCAAATGTTGAAGGTGCAATTTCAAGTGGATTGGCTGCTGCCTCTATGTTTTCTGAATCTTTCAGTTGTTTATAGTGCAACAAAGATTCTCATTTCTTTCTTTTCCAGGAGTTATTAAATAAATATGCCATATGCCATGTTTGTTAACGTTGCATATACTTTATAAATGAACCGGTTGTTGTATTGAAACGAATATCACATCCACTTATTCATCTATACTGTAGAGGGGTCAGTTCATAAAGAAAAGTAGACTAAAACACAACTGATTTACAAGTTTGGATTGTGATTGATTTTGTGAGATGTGGAATCTTTTAATTGGGAATCTATCATAATATGGTTGGTAGTATTTGAATTAGAATTGTAGAAAGATGTTATTCTTGTAATCTGTGTCAAAGCATTTTGAAATTCTTGATGGAAGGATATATGACAGAGAGTTTGATTACTACATATTTTTTCTCCATATACAATAATTTATATGCTTTAAAATGTTGTATTGTACAACTTTATAAAACATAAATTGTTGTGTATAAATCACTATGATATCTCATGAGTAATATTTGAAAATACTTAGATTTGAAACTATATAACTTAACTGAACAACACATTAGATAGAGTATACGGTGTGTGTCTAGAAAACAACGTTATTACCGACGTGTCATTGCCTTAACGACGTTATAACGGAGAGCACACCGCCCCCTCCTCGTTATGTGTTTTCTCGTTGGCATTACAACTTGATGAAAGGCGCCTTTTTGAATTTTTTTGTGCCATTGTTTGGTGTTGTCAAACGGTCAATGTTAATAAAAAAAGACAATTTTTTTTTTAACTTTAACAACACATTTAATCCATTTTTTTACACAACTCTATTTCTCTCTATATTTTATAAAAACTCACTATTTTATTCAACCAAAAAAATAGAGCAAAACCCAAATACCCCTCTACCAAACCCAAACACACAACTAAACACAACTTTTCATCTCGGATTTGCCGGTTACGAAATTTATTTTAACTTTTTATCCTCTCAAAACTCAACACAAATCTTTCAATCCCACAGCAAGGAGCTTCTTTCAATCCCACTTCACTTCCAATCCAATTTCCTACCTCATTTACATTCAACAAAATCTTTTTAGGCAAATCCCAAACTTACAACAAAACCTTTTACCGACTTTCTCTTCGATGCCAGAACCATAAACAATCACAACCAACACAACCATCGGTTGAAATTGAGGCCGAAACGCAAGCGGGGGCAATAGGAGAAGAAGAGGGAAAGGGAAAGAGAAAGCGATTGCAATGGAAAGTGAGGAACCTCCACAATGGTGGACATCGGAGGAGGAATACGCTTTGGCGGTAGTGTGGCGTGATACTTCAAAAATGAAAATCGTGGAAATGGTATGAAGAAAGGTGCCTATTGGGAGGCAGTAAAAATTTCACAATATCTTGAAGAAAAACCGTTAAGCAATACCAACATGCTTAGTAGCAAATGGAGTCAAATAAGTAAGCGGTGCACAAAATTCAATGGTTTTACAAAAGGCTACAGTCTCAACAGCAGAGCGGAACTAACGACTTCAATTTGTTTAAATCCGCAAAAGAACAATATCGGGTCGAAAATGGACATGTGTTTGAGTTCGAGAAAGCATGGGTGTTGGTGCGAGTAGATCCAAAATGGATTAAAACTCCTACATCGTCGGAAGTTCAATCGAAGAGATCTCGTAATTCGAGTTCGTTCGATGTTTCAGACGCACAGACTCACATTTACCTCAACACTAACACTACTAACACTGATGACATCAATGAGATCTCCCCGCCATGAAGACCAATAGACCGTGACAAAGCGAGGCGCGCTGCAAAACATGCAGAGGAACTTGAGATGAAAGAAAGAGACATGGCAAAAATAAAAGCAAAGTTTGATGAGCACAATTTAATACAAAAAGAAAAAAATTAGTTGAAACATCGGGACTTGGAGATCCTTGAAAGGTAAGTGCGGGAGGAGAAAGAGCAAAGAGAGCGAGAACAAATGACAAATTAGTTGTCAATTCTTCGGGCTAACGATGAAAGCTTGACGCCTCGAGATCTGACAGTGCTACAAGCGATGAAGAAGCAGATTAGAAAAACTTATTTGGGCGATTAGGATTATGGTTATGTTAGGTTTAATTTAAAATTTTTGTTCTTTTTTAAATGTTATGTTTTTTTTAAATGCTATGTTGTTTAAATATTATGTTTTATTTAAACATTATGTTTTATAAAAATATATTTGGTTTTATAATTAAAAACAAAAACTCGAAAAAGATAAAAATGATGACATGAAAATTAGTGGAGTGTTATAACATGGTGACAATCTTCTTGATTGATTTTATAACATTATTGTTGATGAAGCATGTAAGGTGGTACCAAAATAATATTATGTTGTTTATACCCAATGCTCTTGTATTATAATGAAATTCTATTTCAAATCTTTCCAAAACTCTCAAAACAATCACTTCTAAAGATATATTTCCAATTGTAATTGTTTGATGATGTATCATACAATTTTTTTCTTCTGTTTTGTCTAAATTGTGCTTTCTTATTTTAGAAAAAAAACATATTTATATACTTTAAAATCTTGAGTAAATTACGTAAATCATCCCTGTGGTTTGGAGTAATATACATGTTCGGTCCGTAACTTTTTTTAACTCGGACGGTCCCTAAGATGTAATTTTGTTTCGCGTTTGGTCATTGTCCGACCTAAAAAGACTATTTTACCCTTGATGATGTTTATTTATTTATTTATGTTATTAACTTATTAATATTTAAGAACAATGGTAACTAGATATGTGGTCCACCTCCCTACCTAACCCTATCCTCCTCAACCTCTTCCTCCCGTACTCAACCTCCGGTAAACAATCACCTCATTCGTCTTCTCTGACATAACCGCCGAAACACCACCACATTATTCATATGAAGCAAATAAAAAGTAAATCACAGGAAAATCGTAACAGGAACATGGAACATGGAAAATGGGAATTAGGAAAATCACTACCATATCTGATTTTTTTAAGGAAATCAAACCGGAAAATGGGAAAAGCAAATCAGAATTAGATAAAATAGAAAATCAAACCGCCATTAAATCTGAAGCAAAATCAAACGAGGGAGAATCTTCACGATCAATTAAGCAAGTACGCTCAACGTACATACCTTGTACACCTAACGTACTTTCCCAATCTAACTTCCAATGGCCATAACTTGCTCGTCCTAACTTTGTTTTCGGCGTTCTTTATATGTTTGGAAGGTAATGAAAAACCCTACAATCCCCACTAATTTCCTTTGACTTAAAACCTTCCGAACTAGAATCCTTAATTCAAGAAAGATCTGAAGCATCACTTTTACCATTATACCCTTGAACTACAAAGCACAAACCGAAAGACTTGATCACATAACCTATATAATCCACACCCAATGGGGTATAAAACCCAAACCCTTGAAGTCCAGGGTCCTAACTTGATCCCTTTAATGCACATAATTCCTGAAATAGGAAGCTTCTCGAAACCAGATGTTACAACTCTCCCCACACTTAAATTATATTTCGTCCTCAAAATCACTCCTTGCTACTTCCAGACACCTAAACGATCTGACCAATTCTTCCCGAACCCCTCTTCAGGCTAAACGTCGACTCATACACACAGCAACCCTCCAAAGCTACAATCAAAACCCAACTTAGCAGGACTCGCATACCCTGATGACGAACGAATCCTTATCCCACTCACTTAAACCAATGAAGAATAACCATTGCTACTCAGCCCAAAATCTTAGAATCCAAAACCTTGTATGACTTTCCGACATGTAAACCCATTTTAATACACAGTTAAAACGACTCCATTGGAAAACAAAATACATGGCCATTCATCGCCGCCGAACAACTTTCCCTTTGATAACAGGGGTGATTCCCATCGCGAGGCTCACCTCTAAATGTTAGCCCATCTATAACTCATATCCCGAAAACCGAAGATTTGCACAATCATTCTATCTGAGATCTTCTAGTTCCTTGGTGACTTCCTACTAAGTTGGGATATAAAATCCCCACTTGTCCGCTACATCCGACAATCTCGCACATGGTCACATCACGAGACTCCGACCATGAGTCTAACTGCTACATGCTACCTGAGCCTAAAAAACACATGAATGTCATTCGTTGACCATAAAGTCATCCTACTCTAAATGTTGTCCAACACCTTAATCAAGCCACTTTCTACTGGGTCTCACCCATACTCTCTTCAAAAACGGGCCTCACCCATGGGTCTCACCCAACTACACAATCGGGTGGGCCTCGCCCATGAGTCTCACCCCGTGAGAGCTATACAAGCCTAACCTTGCCTCAGACCCAACGATCGCCATTCCAAACAAGGAGCGGTTAACCAATAATACTGTCTGACTCGATCCATGCATGCACTCTGATCCTCCTACAGCCCAACAACCACTCCTTCAAGAACTCATCTCGTCCTGGTGAATGTTACGACTCCATCGCAGACTTACAACACCCTTCGACAACCTATCAACCTAGTGTATGCTACGACTATCTCGTAGTCTTATAACACTCTCATAACACTCATAAGCTCAACCCATGGTCTTGCCCTCCATATACCGAACCAAACCATAATAAATCATAAGTCAAAACCATATTCGATTATATTCCAATCAGGTGCTCGGGTCATGCTTCGAACCCCAAAGCCTTTATCAGACAAGAACAGGCAGAGAGGCTATAACACAACCCTCAAACTGAATCCAAACTCATATCCACCATGTATCACTACTGATGCACCACCCAACCGGTTAAATATCTTGGATATCATCCCTTGTGTAAACCTCAATACAGACCGCCACTTGAACCAACTTTCCACTTAACTACGGGATGGAACTCCTCCTTGTTCCGCACTTAAAACTATTCCTAAAATCCAAACGGTTCTCCCCCACTTGGATTTAACTGCGCTCTGCTAACCTTTCTAAAGACCACGAATGATAAGCCCCTTTACCAGAACGAACGGATCACCAACCCAACAACCCACTTGTCGAAAGATCTATGCATTCAAAACGTCTTCAACAGATACAATTTAAATTCCTTTGGTAATCCCAACGTCTGAACAAACCCAAGCGACTAAAATCACCACCCACTCGCTACCGCTCTTACCCTACTTATGGTAGCGATAAGATCAAAGAGTCTTTCACAATCATCTGTTGTCTATTCTGAGAAACACAAGCACTTCTGAACTCTGACTTTGTTGTCCCGGAAAGGACAACCAGCTCCCATGAGATATTTTCCTTAAAGCTTCTGATGCGAGGACTACCCTCACAAT